AAGCTGAAACACAAGAAGTTCCGTCTCCAGGTGAGGAGCAACTTCTTTACTGTGAGGGTGACAGAGCAGTGGAACAGGCTGCCCAGGGAGGTTGTGGAGTCTCCTWCTCTGGAGGTCTTCAAAACCCGCCTGGATGCCGCCCTGTGCCACATGCTCTAGGTGTGCCTGCTTGAGCAGGAAGGTTGGACTAGATGATCTGTAGAGGTCCCTTCCAACCTTAAATATTCTGTAAAAAAAATTATGTAGTTTTTCTCGTTTTTAAGCAACATAGTRCGAAACTGGCTTAGGTAGATGATCTGCAACTGGTTTGTGCTGTGCATTGAGAAGGAATAAAGCCATCCAAGAACTTGYTCCAGCAACACCTTTCTTTCTCTATTTTCCCTAGCAAGGTAAGATGCCAAGCTGCTTAAAGTTGATTTCTGTGAACAAGAGTATTTTGCCTTGCTCAAAATATATTTTCCTCCTCATTTTTATTCTAGAAGGGTCTGTAAGAACCCTGGCGCACTGCTGGGCAGCTGCTTTTTGCTTCTCTGCTGTTGTCCTGGCCCTGCTTGCAAAGGGGGGTGCTGGGTGCCTGCCGGCCTCCCTGACCCGAGGGAAGCCAAGGGCTGATGGAAGTGTCCTGGGCCACCCATCCCTGGGGGATGCCATGAGCTGTCATGGGCTGCCGCTCTGGCGGGTGAGCAAAGGCAGTAACGTGAAGTCCAGCTCTCTCCTGGTGCCATCATAGGATCATCATGGTTGGAAAAGACCTTCAGCATCACCAAGTCCAACTGTCCGTGGTGCAGAGCTCGGGCTTTGGTGACGACCAACACCCGCCCCCATYCCCTGGTACCAGTGCTGAGTGCCACAACGCTGCTTCCCTCCTTCCTCGCCTTGTCTGAGTGCCATCTGCCACKGCTAACAGCTCGCAGCACCCAGGGACATTAGTCAGATCTGAAAGGGCTCCTTTGCTCCCTTGGTGGGCAGGGAGGGGCTGTCAACCCTTTCAAGGCCTCCTAGCAAGGTCCCCCCTTCCGAGCCCTTCCCGTTCTCTGGCTGCTGACATGCTCGGGCAGGAAGCTCTGAAAATACTGCTCTGATGAGCAAATTCAAATCCCTTTCCTAACACTGCCCTCATTATCTGTGACCCTGRCATTTGCCAATAAAGTCTGAAAATTTGCTCATTAGCCCTTCCCTGAGGAGAAGGCGGCAGCGTGTGAGGTGTTCCCCACTGTGAACCCTGGTGGGCG